GAGAATTAGAAAGAGTCAATGTGTGACTGTTCAACAAAAAACAGATACTTTCCTCAATAAAAGCTTCAATTCCAATTTAATCACCAATATAGAGAATTCGATTCAAAACACAATAGTGTCTCAGTAGAAGTGAAATTACAAGGAAAACGGAATATATGAAAACCAAGAGATTGAAGTAAAAAAGAGACCTTTCGCGATTGAGCGGCGAAATATATGCATTTGGTTTTAGTGATAGTGAGTGAGAATTGGGGATTGAAATTGAAGAGACGCAGGTGTGAGAGAGAGAGAGAGAAGGATATTAGTATTAATTTGGAAAAAAATCTATATTGATCCATCCTCACATTAGTTCAAGGGAACTTAATGCAATATAATAATGAAATTCAAGAAGAATTACAAAAACAAAATGTATTATATATAATTTTTTTACTTTAGTAGAATAAAATCTGGCAAATTTTAAAAATCGATGTTTTTTCGTTTGATAAAAAAAAAATGGATGTTGATAAGAGTATTTTTTTTTTTAATGTATTTTAGATTAGATCAAACAAAATGCTTAATCCAGTAATAATAATAGCTTTTAATAATAAATTTGAATAACAGTGGATTTTACTTAATTACATTAAATTACAATATTCAATAACACCTCAAAAATTGTAAATTGCTAACAAAATACTCGGAGACGTAATTTGGGCCATTTTTGTCTATGGGCCTTGGGCTTAAGTCTCTTTAAAAATATGAAAGTTGTTGTTTATTACTAAAAAGATAAATCAAATATATATTTTTATTTTTTTAACTTAACCACAGTCGCGAGAGGCTTAAAGACACAGAGCTCGAATTGTGAAATCGAAGAAGAAGAGAGAAAGTTAGATCGAGGGAAATCGAAGAAGATGGGAGGAGGAATGGAAACGAACAAGAACAAGTTCATCGAAGATTGGGGATCTGCGAGGGAGAATCTCGAGCATAATTTCCGATGGACCCGTCGCAACTTCGCTCTCATCGGAATTTTCGGCATCGCTCTCCCGATCATCGTCTACAAGGGAATCGTCAAAGATTTCGTGAGTTTAATCGCTCTCAATCTCACTC